TAGCCCTGCCGCGAGTCACTCCTTTGATCTTAAAGAAACTGGACAGCATATAAAGATTGGACGTTACATGTGAATGCATGACATGAAGAACTGGTTAGTTTCTGCTCTGCAAATGAATAGGCCCAGAAAGATGGAAGAGACTGGTGAAGGGACATAAAACTTGTGCTTGTTGAGAACAAGTTCGGTTGTGGTAACTGACCTAATATACACTATGTATCTAAAACAGAAAACTACTTGGGAAGCATGAAAACACGCTTCTTATGCCTGTGATACTCAGCCTCCATGAATGTTGGTATAATTGTAAATAATGTCAAACTCCATTTTCTAGCAATTATTAATTATACAAGGGAATTATGTCTGCAGTGGCCCTGTCTTGTCAGTCATTTCTAGTGACCTGTTCACTTCTATCAGGAGTATATTTGTTGAAGAGTTCCTTGTAATTAGTTATGTTTTATGGAAGCGAGCACACATCCACAACATTTAATCACAGGACCATTAGTCTACACTTTTAATAAATGTACCAACTAAGAAAAAATAATTCAACCCCAAGGACAGTGGAAACTGAGTCCTAACCTTCCCCGGTTGGGGCTCCGTCCCCATTCCCTCTAATAAACTCCCCTCTTGCTCGCTGCGTCCGCCTGTTTCCTTGAGCGACTCCAATCTTAGTCTTAAACAATGAACTGGCATTAAAATAAATGGCAAACAGAAAAAAAGAAAGTTACCCGAATAATAGTTCATTTCTATTGTGTGCCAAACAGTGGACTCTTCACATTTATACTAACTTTCAACATGTAAGATATGGCACGATTTTTGCTATTTTACAGATGAAAGTTTAGAATAGATAACTTGAGATGGGCCTTGAGAACATTATGCTAAGTGAAATAAGTCAGAAAAAAGCTAAAAACCATATGATTTCACTCATATGTGGGATATAAAACTGAAACTCGTGAACACAAACAGAATGGTGGTTGCCAGAGGGGAGGTGGTGGGGAAGAAGGGGGTCCTAATATGAGGTGACAGAAGAGTTGACTTTGGGTGGTGGGCACATGGTGCAACATACAGATCTTGTAACATAGAAACCCACACCTGAAACCTATATGTTCACGTTGACCAGTGTCACCCCAAACAATTTAATAGAGTAGATAAATTGCTCCCCACCACAGTTTAATGGACAACCTAGGATTTGAACCCATGTAACCTATTCCAGAGCCCATACCCTTAACTGCAACATTATCCTTCCCAAACACATTTTTGTAAATATTTTGGAGCCGATTTCATTGGCAATACTATCAACCACTAACATTGGCCACTTTAGCTTACCTGGTTAAGTCCAAGCAGGAACTGTCAGGAGCCTGTGTTCAGTAAAACGCCCATTTCTACAGGCTCGTGCAACTTCCTCAAGGCTCTCTGGTCCCAGGACAAATTACAACAAGATGGACAGTTGGAAGAATAGGAACGTGGCAGTCAAAACTCCAGACCCAAGTAGGCATTCCCACCCTATATGACATATCTACCCGCCTCACCTGCGCAAACCTACCTGATCAATTGTCAACACTACTTGCAGGTATCAGACTTTTGGGTCCCACACACTTAGGATTGTCAGTGTGACCCAAACTCCCAACCACAGAGCCTAGGACAGGAGCCCCCCCAACTCAGCTTGCCCCAGTTTCCTGTCTTCTTTCCGATTTCCACCATCTGCGACACCCGATGATCGCATAGCCAAGCAGCAGTCGGAGCCACAGACACAAAAGGACTGGGCTCTGACAGTTGAAAAGCACCAACTAGACATAGGTACTTTCAGTGACTCCTCGAATCTCAACAAAGCGACCTCTAGACCAACCCAGGCCACTCCAGGCCAGCCTTGTCCTCTGTGCATTGGAACACACACACACAAGCTCCCCTGCACTCGCCACATCCACACGTTATATTTATTTATTTATTTATTTTTTATATATATGTTACTGATTTTTTACAGAGAGGAAGGGAGAGGGATAGAGAGATAGAAACATCGACGAGAGAGAAACATCGATCAGCTGCCTCCTGCACACTCCCTACTGGGGATGTGCCCGCAACCAAGGTACATGCCCTTGACCGGAATTGAACCTGGGACCTTTCAGTCCGCAGGCCGACGCTCCATCCACTGAGCCAAACCGGTCAGGGCCACACGTTTTAAAATTACCATGAAAAATTAAAGGTGGCATATATGCCACATGCCATCCCACATCCCACTCACACCAGTTAAATGACACCTGGATTCCTCTCTGACTGATTAAGTAATCGCAGAAGCAGGCGCAGGCCAGGCAGCTGGGTCCGTGCCTGTGTGCAGCGTCACCTGGGTTTAGGAATGCAGGCTGCTCCAGGCTGTGCTCTGGTGGCGCCCTGGAACCAGCAGGCACCTTCTCTCAGGTCACTCTGTCCTTGCAGAGGAAACCACAAAAGACCACCACGCTGCTTGAGTTAGTCTCCATGTATTTTATTTTTTTTACAAAAATCCCATGTCAGACCATTGTGCTCATGACTAGAAAGGGTGGGCGGATAGACATGGCATGGATAGCAGAGAGCTCCCCCTTCTAAGTGTCATCATCTCAAACCAGGAGCTCGTGAGCACACAGGCAGGCAACTACTGAAGGGGTTACCCTCCCGCACAGATGGGCCCTCAGCCGACAGAGCCTGGCCAGAGGTGCCCAGCGCAGAACGGCTGCCGAGCACCTTGGGAGGCCCTCACTCGGGATTCCCCTCACGGAGAAGAGCAAACCGCTACCTGGAGAGCAAGATGTCCTGGGCCCTGGGTGTTACCTTCAACAGCCAAGGAAACCCACGTGGATCTTCAACAGCCAAGGAAACCCACGTGGATCTTCAGAGCTGTTCCGTGTACCAGGTGAGTCACAGGTGGTATAGGTGACATCGGGCTTCCCAAGGTAACGATCAGCACCAAAGGCCTTCTAAGCACAGAGCGCGCCCCCTCCCCCCCAAGCCACGTGGCAAAACCCAGCAGCCAAGCTCCAGGAGCACCTGACCCACAATCCAGAAGATCCGCCTGCCCTGCTGCTTGCTGCTGAGGAGTGTCTAACAACACGGCTGTTTTCTTAGTGTCCACCAGAGCCTGCTGTGGGGTCCTTCATGTCAGTGTCCATCCAGGTCCCAATAGAGCATCCTTGTTTGAAGCTCTGGCATCACAACCTTGCCTACAGCACACGCTGACGTTCTCCATGATCTCAGCCTGTTCGGCTACTCCTGGATCCACCAACAGCCTTCAGGGACCCAACGATCTGGCTCCTCTGGAGGGGATCCTAACACAGACTGCTCGTTTCCCACCACGTCCCACTGAAGGGCAGTATATTAGTTACTCACATTGAAATAAACAAGATAAAAATAGCAGCCACATACATAGCTCGACACACCACACTCTTTGGCTTCCCGAGGGAAGAAGGCTACTGCTAAAAAGAATACAGTCAGAAGTCAAGGAAAGGACGCTAGAAAGTTAGGATGCTGGGAGTCTGGACCCTTTGCTGGGTTGCTGAGCAGTGTAACTCAATCTCCTAGGCAGCTGCCTCAGCAGGAGGGCCACGAGAAGATGCCGCTGCGGACCTGGAGGACACCACCTGCCCTGGGAGCAGCCCTGGTCCTGCTTGCCCGCGGAGAGGCCACTTAGGTCAAGCTAGCCCTACGGTCGGGTGTATCTACAGGACAGCCTGGCTTCAAAATGATACTTGAAGAGAACCCACTGGTACAGGCAGGTCACAGGAGAATGTGCCCCCAAGAAATAGAAGCACAGGTGTCAAGGTCTGGGGAAGACGGACCGGTTTAAGGCATGTGCATGACCAGGACAGACCTGAGCTTTTGTTCAGGTGCAGAAAACCAGCTACACTCAACTTCACTGGAAGGAAGTGGGGTCCAGAAAAATGGCCAAAGGCATGGGCTGAATCCCTGCCAAATGCCACTAACACCCTCTCTGCTTATCCTACTGCCATCACCACAAAAGAAAAAAGAGCTTTTTCTATCTCAGCCCAGGGAATAGAAATTTAAACCCAAGGAAAGTGACAATGTGGGTGAAAATGCCTATGATATTTCAGTCAGAAGTCAAGGAAAGGGTGTTAGATCCTCCCATTGTTCTGGCACATACCAAACCTCGGGGTGTTCTGGAACAACCAGGCATTAGGGATCCAAAAACTACAGGTAACATATGGTGGAGGGGAAGGTGAATTTCACCCAGGTATTTATCCCAAGGCAGCTGCCTTGCGTAAGACTCACCGGCCAGCCGGGTGGGGGGCCACAAAGGACGCTTGCTTATTCCAAGTCACAGAGAGAAGGCCCACCTGCAAACCACTTCAGACCACACCTGGGAGGGCAGCCCGCCAGTTCTGTTCTCTTACACAGGAGACAACCCTCAGGAAAGCCTGAAGCCAAAACACATTTATAAAAGGGGGGCGGACAAAAGAGCCACTTGGAAGTGCTCCCTTGGGGTCCCTTCCTTCCTCATTCCTCTGGTTCCAACATGGAAGAGAAGGAAAAAGCAGGGACAGTCCTGGGACAGCATGACCTCATCGTGACTCTACACACACCAGTGATCCAGCACAAGGAAGCTCAACTGTCTCCAAGATGCAGGTCCGCCCTCCCCAGGGACTCAAGGGAGAGGAGACAGGAGTCACGGAGCGCCGTTGGCAGTGCAAAGGGAGAAGGAACAAACCGACAGGTCTTATCTCATCCCGGGCCCCATAAGAGGGCCAGCCGGCCATTTTTTTGTTTCTGCACATCCTCTGGGGAGAATGGAGATGATCTTTAAGGATGAGCCAGATCCCTAAGCCCAGGATCCATCTCCACCAAAAGAGAACATCAGGAGCCTTGGTGGGTCCCTCACTTTGTGAGACAGGCAGAAATTTCAAATTCCCCCCAAATATATATATGTATATGCATGTGAGTATGTGTGCAATATATATACATACACATACATATGTATATATACACACACACATATATATAAATAAGCCTCGAATGGCAAATCTGAAACATTTTCTTTTTAAATAATAATAATAGTTGTTACTGGATTTAAAAACCACAAACCAGCTGTCCTGGGCTTATGACCTGTGTGAGTGACTCTCCAGAGCCCCCATGTCCTCAGTGTAAGCTATCAGTCAGTGCCCTGTGCAGGGAGTCCCAGTGTCCTCTGTCCGGGTTCCAGGCCCAGCGTGGCAGCTTCAAGAGAAAGGCAACTCTTTCCTTTCCACTCTTCCCGCTGCCTCCCCCAGCAGAGGGTCTGGCCACCCACCCAGTGGATGTGCCTGGGGTCCTTCCACGTCTAGGAGCCACCTCCCTCACTCTGCTCATCCTCTCCCCAAACCTGCAAGGCCCCTAGATGAACTTGAAGCACTTGGTCTTGTCGTGGGGCAGGCGGGTCTTGAAGAGCACAGAGTCCACCCTGAACTGCGTGTACAGCAGGGGCATGTAGCCATACACCTTGACAAAGAAGTTGATGCATTTGTGCCGCTCGTGAAAGTGGGAATCATCGTGGGACAGGGCCTGGGGGCATCCTGGGCATCGGAAAGTCCACCGTGAGGTCACCTTGGAACAGGGAAGAAGGAGCACAGTGAGGATCACAGGTGCCAACGCTGAGAAACCCCACAGCTTAACCAACCCGATGCGTCCACGTCCACAGGGAAGACACGGCCTCAGACAGCCACATGCGCTCGGAGGGAGTCAGGGCCAGTGCCCTGGCTGCCGCCTGCCACACACGTGGCTACAACACGTAAAGGGGCTCTTCCCAACGGCCTGTAATTAACAGGTATCAGGAGCTTTAAAATGGTCAGTGTTACCTGTTTAGTAACTGCTGCTAGTATTCTTCTTGGCTGCCCAGAAAAATGTAGGTATAAAGTTGTTTCTCAATATCTTTAATAGCAAAATACTGGAAAATGACCCATCAAAAGGGGACTAGTTAAATAATTATAAAATACTACACAACCATAAAAAGTTTTTAAGAAAATTACAAAAGACATGGGACCCTGGTCAGTTTTTCCCAGTGGTCAGAGCATCAGCCCACAAACTGAAAGGGTTCAATTCCTGGTCAAAGGCACGTACCTCGGTTGCAGGTTCAATCCCCAGCCCCAGTCAGGGTGCAAGCAGGAGGCAACGAATCAATGTGTCTCTAACACATCGGTGTTTCTCTCTCTTGCTCTCTCCCCCTCCCCCTTCCCTTCCACTCTCTCTAAAAATTAATGGGGAAAAATATCCTCACTCCTTGGGTGAGGATTTAAAAAAAAAAAGAAATAAAGGGGAGGGGAAAAAACATGGGAAAGTAGTCATATTACAGTTTAGTAGTTATTATTAGGAAACTTCAAGCAATTAGAAAAGTATGGAGAATAATGTAACAGCTTCACTATCAACAATGTGGCCGACCACATAACATAAAACCCCTCAGCACAGAATACCTGGCGGAAAAAACCAGGGTAAGATATATGTAAACCATCTCTTTAAATATATGACTGAGCTTGTAATGAAAAATAAAATCCTCAGAGGCCAAAAGAATGGAAAGACCTGAATGTAGTGAGGCAGCCAGGAGCGTGGGGTCTTTATCAGACTCGGGAGGCAAGAGTGTGAAGTCAGACAGGAGACTGTGTGAAGCAGTGGGACCCGCTGTACCAGACGCTGCGTGGGATAGAGGCAGCCCACAGAGAGCGACAGGAAGGAAACGTTTTCTGCTCAGTCTCAGCTCTCAGCGGAAAAGGAACAGCACTTCTGACCACTTTTAAGCACACGCTGGCCCTCACACACCTGAGGCTGGAATGTATGTTGCTGTGTGTCCTAAACAGTCCCAAGATGCTCACTTAGCTTACACAGGTCTCAAGTAGACCTGAGGGATGCAGGAGAAGGAAATGCAAATCCTCTCAGGTGCAAACTTAGACCTCAAAGAGACACAGGTAAAATCCCAAAGAATATAACCTCACAATCAAAAGTCACAAACTGTGCCCTAGCTGGTGTGGCCCAGCGACTAGAGCACCAGCCCAAGCATCGGGTTTGATTCCAGGTTAAGGGCATGTACCTGGGTTGTGGTTCACTCCCAGTTGGGGCACATGCGAGAAGCAACCAGTTGATGTGTCTCTCTCACATCGATGTTTCTCTCCCCTGCCCCCCACTCTCTCTGAAAAGCAATGGAAAACATATCCCCATGTGAGAATTAACAACAACAAAATCAAAAAGCCCTAACCGGTTTGGCTCAGTGGATAGAGCGTCGGCCTGTGGACTGAAGGGTGGGTCTCAGGTTCGATTCCTGGTCAAGGGCTTGTACCTCGATTGCAAGCTCAATCCCTGGCCCTGTCTGGGCATGTACAGAAAGTAACCAATCGATGTCTGTCTGTCTGTCTGTCTGTCTCTCTCTCTCTCTCTCTCTCTCACACACACACATTGATGTTTCTCTATTCTCTCTTTCTCTCTCTCTCTCTCTCTCCCTCTCTCATTGATGTTTCTCTGTCTCTCCCCTACCCTTCCACCCTCTAAAAATCAATGGAAAAATATTCTTGGGTGAGGATTAACAAGAAAAAAAGTCACAAGAATGGAAATGAGCCACATAAGGAAGAAACAAACAACAAAATCAGATCCCAAAACACTGCAAAATAGCAGGATTATCAGAGTGACTGTAACAATAAATGTGTATAATATTACGATGCAATTTTGAAAGATTTCTCAAAGTTTAATGGAAGAAACAGGGACTATCAAAAAAGTCCTAACAGATATGAAAAGGAACCAAATATGAAAAGGAGCCAAACAGAACAACAGAAATGAAAAGTATATTGAGTTAAATTCAAACTCAACTGATGGGCATGAAGAAAATGTTAGTGATGAAAAGTATACTAAAATTATTATATGGAATATATGGAAAATACTGACAAAAAGCTTTAAAAATATGAAAGCAAGATTAAGAGACATGGAGAAGTGACACTGTATGATTCCATTTATATAAAATTTAAAATGGCAAAGTGATCCTGGAACAGAAAAAAGACACTGACTTCCTCCCCTTCTCCCAGCTGCACTCCTTCCTGCTCGGAGCTGCACTCTGCCCCTGGGACCCAGGTGCTCTTTACCTGCCCCACCCCAGAGAAGGGGTGTGGAGGACCCTCCCATTCTCATGATGACTGCCCACTCACCTCCTCAGAGAGCCCTCTGCCTCCAGCAGTCCTGCTCTGTGTATGCTTGAGGCTGGGAAGTTTAGGTTCAGAAGTGAAAGCTCAGGGCCACCAGAGGGCAGACCCAGAAAGCTGGTAGGACCTGTACCAATCGGGCCAGGGCAGCAGAACAGAACTTGCCACTGTGCCCACAGCAGAACACACATATCTCCCCCTCCCCGCCTCTGTGCTGGGCTCTAAGGGGGCCTTGGAATCTTTCACCTGCTCTGCCCGGTTCTGGTCAAGCTCACTTGTGGAACTCATTTTGTACTTAACCCTGTTGACCAATGACCAAGCATTGGCTTAAAGGCATCTCCTGGGTTGCTCCTCTAACCTCTCCAGTTAGTGGGAATGTGGCTAAGGGAACTGTAGGGAATCGATCGGCCTGGGGTGCATATGTCTGCTGCAGACTCTCCATGGCCCAGTAGTCCCTGCCAGTCCAGAGCCTCTCTACGGGCTTCACTGGGGGAGCAGGTGTAACTTGTCTGGCCTCATTCCCGAGTGTGGCCGGCGCCGTAGGTGGGGGCTAGTTACGCAGAGTCAGCTCCTCGTGCTCTCGTCAGGCTTTCTCCCCCAGACAACCATGGAATGTGGTCCAAGAATGTGGGAACTGAGAGTTTAGGGCACACAGTTGCTCACATGTGCTCTTGGTTACACTTTACATTATTCTACTACATTATCATTCTAGCAAAAACTAAGGAAATCCAAATAAAGGATAGACGAGTAATATGGTGTATCAATACTGGTTCCTTCATTGGGACCAGTGGACCACACTGATATAAGATGCTAATAACAAGGTAACTGCATGGAGTAGGTGGGAATTCTGTACAAGCTTCACAACTGTCTGTAAATCTAAATCTACTTTAACACAAAAAGGTTTATCTTACAAGTAAGCCACAGTGTTTAGGGACGGATGCTTAGGTGACAAAAGCATAAAGGAAAACAATGGTGTGAGCACCACTGAAGGCATGATAGTGACTGTATTAGTGTCCTAGTGCCGCTAAAACAAATGACCACAAACGTAGAGACTTAGAAACAAACATTTATCCTCTCATAGTCCTGGATGCTACAAGTCTGAAGTCAAGGTGTCCATCCTCTCAGAAGGCTTGGGGAACAGCTTGTTCCCTGCCCCCTCAGTTCTGGTGTTGCCAGCGATCCTCGGCTTGCAATATGATTGCCGATGCAGCCATATGATAATGTTATTGCCCATAGCCGTTATAACGCGCATTAGGTCTCCATGGCTTATTTACTACTCATTCTAAGTTTGTACCTAAACATCATTAATCTTACCCCCCAAATCCTTATTCTGCATAAAGCCTATTTATAGTCTAGATCTTTTTCCTCCTGGAAAATGTAACATTACAATATTCAAAGCAGCAATTGCTCTAAGAACATTAACTCCCTGTTCTTTAGTCAGTATCGTTAAGATATTAACATTATTAAAAGAACACTGCTAATCATAAAACCAACCAACCTTTCTAATTTTTTTGTTTGTTTTTTTGTGTGGTTTTTTCATTAATTCTCAACCAAGGATATTTTTCCACTGATTTTTTAGAGAGAGAGTGGGAGGGAGAGGGAGAGAAACATTGATGTGAGAGAGACACATCGATTGGTTGCCTCCTGCACACACCCCAACCAGGGCTGAGGAACCTGCAACCAAGGTACGTGCCCTTGACTGGATTGAACCCGGGACCCTTCTGTGGGTCAACACTCTATCTACTGAGCCAAACTGGCTAGGGCCAACCTTTCTAATTTTAACAAGGAAGAGAACAGTTCAACAGTGTAATTTTGAAGTATTTAATACAAAAAGAAATTACTATTTTAGAATACAAAATAGTACATACACCTGATGCTATTGAAAGTAGGTAAGTTAATAAAAATAGTGCTAACTGGTTCTATACTATAAAGTGCATAACTGGACTCAGAATTTGAAGAAATTAACTCAAAATTTGAAGGCATTCTTAATTTATTGGGCCTTTGATTTTAAAAAGTTCACCCTCATCTTGAATTAAATTCCTCTTATATTCCCATAAGACTGAGAAAATTCACAGAGAATAATTACTTCTTAAGTTTTCACTTGGTAAGAGGCATGTATACCATGTGCAAATTATTTCCATCTCATTCTCTACACTGAAGAGATTAGGCCAGTGTTTAATTAGTCTAATAATATAGACAAACACACTTTGATGAAGGTGAAAAATTCATCATGTCTGTAAGAGTTTCAGGTGACACCTAATCACTCAGAGCCTGACTTTCATGGCTGTCTCTGACCTATGAGGGAGGTATAAATGGAAGCACACATCTTGGCTGAAGCCCAGTCCCTGGCCACATAAGAAAGGAGAAGAAGGAATAGAAAATTTCACCAATCATTAACTTCTTTCTAAGGCCTTGTCTCCCAAACCGTAAAGTTTGCAAAGAAGTATGCTTTTCACTGTTTTATATCAGATCTATCACTGTACCTGGCAAACATACTACTTTTATGAAAATAACTGTGACTATTATCAGTCACAATTTCTGAAAAACCCACACAATTGGATGCATTATTTTGCTAATTATTCTTTTGTGAGGCTTTAGCACAGCGGTTCTCAACCTGTGGGTCACGACCCCTTTCACAGGGGTCGCCTAAGACCATCCTGCATATCAGATATTTACATTACGATTCATAACAGTAGCAACATTACAGTTATGAAGTAGCAACGAAAATAATTTTATGGTTGGGTCACAACATGAGGAACTGTATTTAAAGGGCCAGAAGGTTGAGAACCACTGCTAGCAGAAGGCACTAGGATAGAAGAAACTATGGGGTTATCAGGAGTTAAAGTTATAACCCTGAGCCATACTTGGAAAAGGGCTTGCTAGGTATAAATGGATGCAGAAGGCCCCCAAATGCTTTTCTATCTCTCTTTTGTGTTGTTGTTTTACATAAACTTTTTTTTATTGTTGACAGTATTAAAATGTCCCCTCTTTCTACCCCCCTTTGTCCACCTCCACCTAGCCTCCACTTGTTACCCTTTGTTGCATGGATCCAATGTCCTTTGATTATCACAATGCTTCCCACCAAAGATATGATTTATCGTTATTAGTACAGACTGCTGGTTATTTATATAAAACTTACCTTCAATATGTAAGAATAAAATATTATATACTCATGGCAGTAATGATATCCATAAAGATAACTTATTATTTTGTAATATTAAATAATATGCCTTTTAAACAATAATAAAATAAGGCCTTAAGCAATGTTTCTAAGGACATAAGGCTACGGCATGAATACTGACAGAGCACAGTCATAAATACTGCTCATTTGAATTGACACACAGATTCTCTAGTATTAATCACTATGAAGGCCCTTACCAGGCCTCCCCTAGCCCTCACCAGGAGAGCTCTCACTCATCTGAACCTGCAGTGATGACAGAAAGGGTGATGGAAATGGTCTTTCTATGTGCTGAGCATGAAATTGGGATACTCTGATCAAATCTATTCAGCAACTCAAAGATAAAAACAAAACTCAAATTTCTAGAATTCTGACGGCACTTTTGTTCTTATTTTAAGCTAAATAACTTTTTTAGCAATTACTTACGTGCCAGGCATTATTCTTAGAGCTTTACATAATTTAACCCAGACATTCTTAAATTTTTGTGCCACAGGAGTCCCCTCCACTCTGACTTGGCAATCTGGGGAAACCTGTGGACTCCACCTCAGAATGTTTTGAAATGCATAATACTAACTACATGCGATTACAAAGGAAACAAGTTATACTGAAATACAGTAATATATGTGTTCTTTTCTAGATCTAAATGCATTTGGTAGCAAGATCTAAATGCATTTGGTAGTTAATAGCAGTGATGACCACAAGTGGCACTTTGAGATTCAACAGCAAATGTGATATGAAAATGTCTGAGTACTACTGGTGACAAATCACAATTACTGCAAAGGCTCTTATGAATTGTAGCCTGTTTCATAATTGATAAAAATTCCAGTTAGAGATTAGTAAAACTTAAAGATGTAACATTTTTCCCAACCAAGTTCCAAATCCTCTGAGTTCTATCTATTTTACCCTTAAGAGTGAAGAGCCACTGAATTAACAACTAATTTAACCTTCAGACAATCCTTTTTGGTTGATGGTATCATTATCCCCATTTTACAGATGAGGACTCTGAGGTACGGTTACATGCCGCACTACTGCAAACTAAGTGAATTCAGTATTCATGCACCCCAGACCAATCAGAAGTGGAACCCTCACCTTGATGGGGGGTTTCCGAGTGATGTGGGAGACAAGGAAGTTCATGGCAATGTCCTCACAGTTGATGTATTCATCCACCATATCTCGGATGGCCTGGGGCATCACGTAAGAATACAGGTAGGCATAGTACTGTCAGGGAAAGAAAAAGAATCACACTCTGTTAGAGGCCATACTTCTTTGGCTTTCCCCAAAAATATGAGCAGATGCCCTGGCCAGTGTGACTACGTTGTTGGAGTGTCAGCCTATGCACCAAAGGGTCAAGAGTTTGATTTCCTGATCAAGGGCATGTACTTGGGTTGCAGGTTCGATCCCAGCCCAGTCAGGGCGCATGCAGGAGGAAACCAAGCAATGTGTCTCTCTCACATCAATGTTTCTCTCTCTCTTTATCTATCTATCCCCCCTCCCTCCTCTCATCCACTCTCTGAAAAATCAATGGGAAAATATATTCTCCAGTGAGGATTAACAACCACAAAAGTGTGGATCTAGGGGCTGTTAGGAAGTGGGAGAAAAGAGGTAGCCATCACTGGCATTTAAGGAGTTGGGGCCAGGGTGGCTTAGCATCCTGCAAGGCAGATCTTCTGCAATGAATAACGGCCCCTTCCAAATTGCCATTATCACCCCCTTAGAGAATCGCAATTTCATTTAATTTCCTTAGTACCTCAGTGATTTTACAACAATCTAAAAATTTGTCAAATCAGGTCAGACACTGGTTCAGTTGAACAACATTCTCTCTGACAACAAAAGCCTGGTTATCTTCTCAGACTTCTCAGTAAGTCATTGAGCCATGAAATATCCAATCCCTCAGTGCCTCACATACGAAGTCTAGAATCTGATCACTTCTCACCACTGCCACTGGCCTCCCTGCTCCAAGCCACCATCATTTCTTGGCTGGATTACTCATATTGTCTTAATGGTCTCCCTGCTGGGCCTGCCTGGCATGGCTCAGTGGTTGGGCCTTGACCTATGAACCAGGAGGTCATGGTTCGATTCCTGGTCAGGCCATATGCCCAGGTTGCAGGCTCAATCAATGATTCTCTCTCATCATTGATGTTTCTATCTCTCTCCCTCTCTCCCTTCCTTTCTGAAATCAATAAAAATATATTTTAAAATAATAAAAACTAAATGGTTTCTCTGATGCCATATTTTCTTCCCTACAGTCCATTCTCAGCACAGCAGAGTGATCATGTTAAAAGTCCAACTTAACATGTCACGCTAAACCAGCGATTTTCAACCGGTGTGCCACAAGCATTTTAAAACATGCAATACCTGACTATTTAGTCAGGGACACTTACCTCTTTTCCCTTAGACTGTCGAATAAAAAATTGACACCAACCAACACAACAATAGCCATCAGTGTAAATTAATCAAAATTATACCTATTTTTTGACAGATCAACAAAAAGGTTGAAAATCGCTGCTCTAAACCCCTCAATGGCTTCCCATCTCACTCAGACCAAAAGCCTAAGTTCTGAAATGTCCTGCAAAGCCCACAGAATGGTGTGCTGAAGCTGGCTCACACCTGCTCATGAATGCTGACTGCTAAGTTTTCAGAAATGTTGTGAGACTATTTAGAAATTTTGTGAACTTGTTATGAAAAAATAGCTATTATTAAAAATATAATTGTATAAACTTAAACAACTATAATAAAAAATAAAAACCTAAAGCTCATCACTTAATTAAAAAATTGTTATATTTTACTATCATTAACTAAATTTCACTGTTATCTTGAGGTTGTCTATGTCTATCATATTTATATGGTGAAAATACTATACAATGATGTGCAAATCCACATTTCTTCCCAACTCCATGTTTAGTGATTATGTCGATAACCTGAAATCAGCCATAGTAAGAATATTTACACTACAGAAATGGGCAAATGCTATAAAACAGGGTACATGTTAACTGTGAGGTATTGCAATATGGTGATAATGAATAAAGAGGTAAGGTGCTCAATAAAACTGATTTATGTATTTTATTACCTTAAATATGGAATCTATGTAATGAAAAACTGATCACACAATTTTTATAGCATACAGTGGTTTGCTGGCTTGGTGGCAAAGTACTTAAGAGATGGTGAACTTAAAAGATGAGCCCTAGCTGGTTTGGCTCGGTGGATAGAGCATCGGCCTGAGGACTGAAGGGTACCGGATTCGATTCTGACCAAGGGCACATGCCGGGTTGTGGGCTCGAGCCCCACTAGGGGGCATGCAGGAGGCAGCCGATCAATGGTTCTCTCTCACTGATGTTTCTATCTTTCCCTCTCCCTCCGAAATCAATAAAAATATATTTTTGAAAAAAAAAGATGAATTATACATTTTTCTTTTAGAAAAAGGCAGGTAATTAAGATATGTTGACCCTTTAAATGCCAGTGGCTGCCATTATATGCTGATAAGAAAATGTATATTAACCTCAACCCATATCATCAAGAGAAAGGTGAAATTATAACAAGAACTGCCTTTAAAAAACAGAGAAACCATTATGAAAACACTTGCTTAGCAGTATTTTCACAATTATCTAATTTTAATGCCAAAAATAACTTATGAAAATCTACAAAAATTTTCAGATGTATACATTTTAAAAACACACACAAAAAACTTCTGTAACTTGTTTAAAAATCTCCTGAACAAAAAGTTGAAATGAAGTTGGAAACTACTCTTAAATATAATAATGTAACACCTCATTGGTTTGCTAAAAAAACTGAATGGCGACAGGGAAGATGGAAATTCTAGTCAATTTCAGCAACAAGCCACCAAATTGGTTGATGAGTATCATGACTTAGTAAGCCCAGCAATAAGGTATTCTTCCAGGGACAGTGATTAAAACCAACTATCAAAAATATGCTTAATTTAGAAATAGATCTCTGACTTGCCATAACATAGTGTCAAATCAAGATTTTCAAAAACAGTAAGGCATATTCAATCACATTGCTTTCATGAAAATTTAAGAATTAAGTGAGAATACTTTGAAACTATTTCATCTTTATCTCAACCTTACAAAAATTTCTATAAGTATGATAGTACACATTTATAAATACAACTCATAAATAAATATACATATTTGTGAGGTACAGGTTCAAAATTTCTATTGATAGGCACTTACAATAAAAAAACTTAATTGCGCCGTGACTGGTTTGGCTCAGTGGATAGAGCATTGGCCTGTGGACTGAAAGGTCCCAGGTTCGATTCCAGTCAAGGGCATGTACCTTGGTTGCGGGCACATCCCCAGTGGGAGGTGTGCAGGAGGCAGCTGATCAATGTTTCTCTCTCATCGATGTTTCTAACTCTCTATTCCTCTCCCTTCCTCTCTGTAAAAAAATCAATAAAATATATTATTAAAAAAAAAAACTTGATTGCTTCAATAGAGGGAATTATGCTAAGTGAAATAAGTCAGGCAAAGAAAGACAAACACCATAGGATTTCACTTATAAGTGGAATCTAAAAAACAAAATAAACAAACAAACAGAACACAAACTGACTCATAGATACAGAGAACAAACTGATGGCTGTCAGATGGAAGGAGTACTGGGGGGTGGGTGAAAAAGGTGAAGGGATTAAAAAGTACTAATTGGCAGTTACAAATAGTCCTGGGGATATAAAGTACAGCATAGGGAACATCATCAATAATATACTAACAATGTATGGTGTCAGGTGAGTACTAGACTTATGGGGGTGATCACTTAATACGTTATGTAAGTCTCTAACCACTATGTTGTACACCAGAAACTAATATAATATTGAATGTCAACTGTAACTGAAAAAAAGACTGTTCCAGATTAGGGAATGACTACTTAATTGCTTTCCAGGATCAAACAAGTAAGGCAAATACACAACATTTTAAAGAAATGGGTGTAAGAAAAATAGAGTCATGGAGAAAATAAGCACATACATGCCCAGGTACAGGAACAGCGGCTACGCAGCTCCAGCCAGTTGGTGTCAGGCAAAAACACTGCCCTGTGTGACCTGACTTTCATTTTCATTAAGGTCCCAATCTTTTTGTAAAGTAACATTCTATAAGCCACCGAAGGCTTGGGGGCTGCTAGTTTGTAAACTCTGCTCTAGATTTTCAAACAGGAAAAAAAAAAACCCCAAAACCCTAAGTTTTATTAATTATTTATTACTTGAAAGTAAAGAGATCTGACTACTGTAACTTTTATAGAGCCATCAGAGAATTGAGAAGGCAGACTTTTCAGAAGACAAATTCTCAAGTTATTTATGAGCAGACACTGCTAAAATCAGTGGCTCTTTCTCAGACGACCAGTGTGAAAATAAAAGACTCCTACATAGTTTTTCAGCCACATGCTCTCTACTCCTCCTTGCAATCCCCAGCCCAACTAAAGCCCATCCAAGTTTAGAAAATAAGCACAAGGGCAAGACTCAAGAATGGGATGAGCGTAACAGTTATACTTTAAAAAGAAAAATGAGCTGCAAGTTTAATGACTTCCTAGGCTGGTTCAAATGTCCCCAGTGAGATAACTTTCAAGGTCCTATTTGAGATGACTTGCAAGATGCCACCATCTGAGATATGAAATAAACAAGGAGCAAAAGAGTTGAGGGAATTGAAGGGGGTGGGAAATCACGGGCTTCTTGGAGGAAAATTCCGTTTGAAGGACCACAGGGACATATAGGGGATGACCTGGAAACAATTAAATATACAAGTACAGATCTCAAGGAAGGGCCAAGGCTGGAATATAGATACAGAAATCATCAGCTTATAGGTGTAAGGAAAGCCACAAGACCTTGTGAGTATGAGAGAATGTCTAAGGAAAACACAAAGTAAGAAGAGCACTAGATGAAGCGGGAATCCTGAGATACTTCAACATTTATGGGGAAGACAGTACGGTGTGGGTGGGTCTTCATAAGGGGAATGAGTCACCCAGAATGACCGACAGCATAGAATGGAGATTAGGATGACGGGCCAGGTACTAACATCCTGATGACTGTGAGGGAATGATTATGAGGCTGGCGGACAGCAGCAACAAGACAAATGCCATGAGCCTCCAATGAGATTTCATATGTCAGTTGAGAATTGTCGAGATATGTCATTGATAAGCAGTGAAAAGTTCTCTGCACCTTTCCTGATCTGGGAGATGAGTAGCCTCAATCCTGTTTGCAGAAAAAATACTTTTCTCCTTAGAGAAAAGTCAGGTTTCCATCAGGTCAAGGAGACAGAGGAGGTTGTAGGTGAGTTGGTTATCTGAGAACAGGGATTCTTCAGAGTCCAGAGGAAGGAACTGAGAGGGAAGGTACAGAGCAGCACTATCCAATGGAAATATAATGAATCACACATGTAATTTTAAATTTTCCAGTAGCCACATTTTTAAAAGCAAAAAGAAACAGTAAAATTAATTAGTAATATATTTTACTTAAGCCAATATATCCAAAATAAGTGCATTTCAGCATTCAGTCAATATAAAAAATTATTGAGATAGCTTGCCTTCTTTCATGCTAAGTTTTCAAAGTCTGGTGTGTACTTTACACTACAGCACATCTCAATGTTTGAGCACCAGCCACATTTCAAGTGCTCAACAGTCACAAGTGGCCAGTGGCTACTTTATAGAACAGATGAGAAACTGAGATAAGATGAGTCAGGAGCAAACAAACAAACAAACAAAAAATAGAACAGTTTAGCAATAACAGTACAGGTGAGGAGTAATAACTGGAGGGGTTTGCATGTTGGATAATCAATGAAAATTGGGATGTGGAGGCATGAAGGTTACAAGCTCTAAGGAATCAAACAGAATACAGAGCCACAACAGATAGAGGCCTGTGGTGGGGCTTGGGAGAGTGGTGGCGAGCCTGAGTCGGAAGAGTGCCAGGCTCAGCCCTCTGTGCCAGGCCGTATCTGGAATAGCAATTCTGAGACTGGATGTTAGTTTAGCACAATGCTCTCAATTTTACAGATGACGAGGTAAGGCCCAGAAAGATGAACTTAATTCACCTAGTGGCCTACATACAATTGTATAAGCCGTCTTCTCACCCTGACTTTTTATTCCAGAGTTGCTCTAAGCATCTTGATCTCTGTCTTTAAAAACAGAAATAACTTATTTCTAGCAAAGAAGGGACCTATGAGAAGCACTAGGAGAGATAAATTTAGGGCAGCATTACACTGCAACATAAAGGCTGAATTCTTACCAAGTTCATGCCATTCTTACCAAATCTTGTCTTACCTTGTGAAAGAAGGCAGCACCTGTCAGCACCATGGACAGCTCACAGGAGTAGTTGGAGTTGTAGAGCCAGGACTGATGAGGGATGTCCCACGCATGGTAACGGCCAGGGAAACCCACAATGCGGTCCCGTGCTTCTCTCCACACCCTCGAAAAGCACAAGTATATGAACACACCTAAGTACAAAGCTCTAAGATTATCAGAAACATTTAAGATTACTGCCTATATCTTGCAGGTTCTGGTTCTTAGGCTGTTCCTTCTTTTTGTTGTTGTTGTTGTTGTTTTTAATAACAAAATCGCAAGCCAAACAGGATAAAAACAAGTAATGAGCGACACATGTAGCTTCCTTCATAAGCACCAGCTTATTATTACTGCTTCTCTAATTCCTGGCAGCCAGCATCTCTCCCACCCTTACAGAAAGAACAAGCTGGAATAACATGGGATGCATAATATTCTGCTAAGAAGCAGAAAGAAGATATAAATGTCTACTCCTATTTACTTTTTATCTAAAAAGTTTTATTTTTAATGAGCATGCTACATTAGTACACTAGACATGTATGTATATAACTGATGTATATTGCATACTTAATTTTTCTTTTCCTGAGTGAGTATACTATAAAAGAAGCTTAGAGACCACTGGTCTAAACACAGGAGACTGCTGCCTAGAGTAAGGTCCAACAGTCTTTCTTTTTTGCCTTTTTATTGAATTTATTGGGGTGACACTGGTTAATAAAACTGTACAGGTTAGCCCTAGCCAGTTTGGCTCGGTGGATAGAGCGTTGGCCTGAGGACTGAGGGGTCCCGGGTTCGATTCTGGTCAAGGGTATGTACCTCGGTTGCAGGCTTGGGCACTGGTCAGGGCATGTACAGGAGGCAACCAATCAATGTGTCTCTCTCACATCAATGTTTCTCTGTCTTTCCTTCTCTTTTCTACTCCCTCTAAAATCAATGGAAAAATATCCTCGGGTGAGAATTTAAAAAAAACATAACTCTACAGGTTTCTACAATTCTACAACACATCATCTGTACACTGTACTGTGTGTTCACCACCCCAAGTCAAGTCTCTGTAAGGTCCAACAGTCTTAATTCCTGATTTACGCAGAACTGAGGGAGAGACCTACACCATAAAAAGTGGTCTACAGGACCATGTAAATAAAAGATTTCATAAATGCAATAAATAAATTGAAAATTCAATGTTTCCAGGATAAAATTTTACATCATCCCCAAATTTACAGGTAAGACAACAAACAGAATCAGTCCCCCAGTTTTCCAGGCTAAAATCCTAGAGCTGAAAGCACTTCTGCTCCACAGAACCCATCAGCCCTGCTTCGGGGTCCTGTAAACAATGAACCACTACTTCCTACTTCACCTCAGCCCCAAAGAGAGATTTAAACTGCTTGAGATGAGGGTGAGGGCAGGATTGGGGGGGTGAGGGGACATTGGGGGGATAAGGACACATTTGTAATATCTTATTCAATAAAGGGGAAAAAATAAAATAAACTGCTTGAGAAAAGCCCTCATCACTTACATGGAAATTCAATTCCTAAAACACATTCGATTTCACTTCAAAACAATTCCTCTCCTATTAAATTCAAAAGCAACTAATCCGGTCCAACAGATAAGAAACTACACTTGTATTACCTGGGCTTTCTGCCATCTCCTGCCCAAGTCCCTACCTCTATCCTAATTTAGAACCTAAAACTGTCTCCAAATTACTAATTTAAAAAGCTATAAGAAATTTCTGTAATATAATTTGACATATCCAGGATTTAAAGATGGCTAGTAAGTACACTGGTATAACCAAATATTATATCAATACCCCTAAAAATTCTAATCTCGCCCTAACTGGTTTGGCTCAGTGGATAGAGAGCATCAGCCTGAGGACTGAAAGGTCCCGGGTTCGATTCCCGTCAAGGGCATGTACCTTTGTTGCAGGCACATCCCCAGTAGGGGGTGTGCAGGAGGCGCCCTAACCGGTTTGGCTCAGTGGGTAGAGCGTCGGCCTGCGGACTGAAGGGTCCCAGGTTCGATTCCGGTCAAGGGCATGTACCTGGGTTGCAGGCAGATCCCCAGTAGGGGGTGTGCAGGAGGCAGCTGATGGATGTTTCTCTCTCATGGATGTTTCTAACTCTCTATCCCTCTCTCTTCCTCTCTGTAAAAATCAATAAAATATATATTTTTTTAAAATTCTAATCTCATCAAATGCCTATTTCTCTTACTATCCCTGAAATATCATCAGAAGAAAGGATTGGAAACTGAGTATTTCAGTTATCTGATGTGGCTGATTTAAGTCTATAATGTAGACAGTTCTTAATAAAGCAAAACCTCACTTGCTATGCAATATTAAAAGGTAACATACCTAATTAGTTAAAGGCAGTCAACCATGAGATGGCTGACCAAATGTTAATTTTCTATTAAATAATAAAGAAAAAAATCAACGTGGAAGCACTGACACAAGATAAACTTAAAGACTTAAATAAATTCCTGGGATGATGCATCAAGAGTTTTAGATAACACGGTCACAATACATATTTGAAAGTCAGATATTCAAAAATACTGATTATATATAATGCTACCAATTTACATTTGAAAGTGTTATACATAATAAGTTCCTTAACATTATATTCAAACTTATGCTGCACTGAATATTTTTAATCTATATGCTATATCATAGATCATGCTTTGGCATACCTCCCCTTTGATGAATTATTCTTTAAATGTATTAAAAGGATAACAACTACCATACAAAATGAATGAAGTACTGACACATGCTACAAGACGAATGGACCTTGAAAACACTATGTTAAGTGAAAAAAATCAGTTACAAAAGGGCATATATTTTGCCCTGGCCAGTGGGGCTCAGTTGAGATTTGGAGCATCATCTCATACACCAAAAAGTGGCAGGTTTAATTCCAGGTCAGGGCACATACCTAGGTTGCAGGTCTGACCCCCAGTCAGGGTGCGTACAGGAGGCAACTGATCAATGTTTCTCTCTCACATCAATATTTTTCTTTCTGTGCATATCTCTGCCTCTATCTCTCTCTCTTCCCTCCTCTCTCTAAAATCAATTTTTTTAAAAAGAGCACATATTTTATAGTACCATTTATATGAAATGTCCACAAGAGATTAATGATTGCCTAGGCTTTAGAGGGGCTGGAAGGAAATGTTAATGGGGACAGCGTTTCTTTTGGTGGTAATGAAAATTTCTAAAATATACTGTGGTGATGGTTGCACAACTTTGTAAATGTACTAAAAAACACTGAATGGCATATTTAAATGAGTGAATGATATTCAATGAATGTTACCAAAAGTGAATTGCAAGATAAACGATCAAACACCTGGATGTCACAGTAACTGTCAAATTGCTTTAAAAGTTTTTAAATGCTTACCTTCAATTTTAAGCTTAACTCTCTGTGAACAGGCAATAAACTGTCCACGGGCCCATACACCAGTCCATGACACACTCTGAGTAGCTCTGATCTACTCCATTCTCTTTCCTATGTTCCCTCAAGTGGAGGGAACATTATCTTGTTTGGGATATTTAAGCCCAAACAAGAACTACTAAATTTTTTTAAAAGGTGTTTGAGTGGAAGTTCTGGAATCAGACAAGCCTGTTAGAATTCCAGCTCTGCCACTTACTTTCTAGCTTCACGGTTTTGTTCTCTTGGATCTAATTTACTCCTGGGTAACATGGAGATGACTACAACTTACACCAAGTTTTAGGAGGATGAATGAGATATGCCAACGCATTCAACTAGTCTCTGGCACACAGTACAGATTCAACAAATGTCATTCATCATAACCACCTCTTCTTCCTCCCCCAATTTTTCCTCCTGGATCTTTGCATCCGATCCCATCGTTGCTCAAATCTTTCAGGCCCCAGGATTCTGGCACTGTTCCATTGCCCCAATAAATGGCAACATGTTTCTGCCTGCCTCACATTTCCTTTAGGGAACTACCCTTTGCCTCCATTCTTAGTCTATATAGTTTTCAGTTAGAGCAGTGGTTCTCAACTTTCCTAATGCCGCGACCCTTTAGTACAGTTCCTCATGTTGTGGTGACCCCCAACCATAAAATTATTTTTGTTGCTACTTCATAACTGTAATTTTGCTACTGTTATGAATGGTAATGTAAATATCTGATATGCAGGATGTATTTTCATTGTTACAAATTGAACATAATTAAAGCATAGTGATTAATCACAAAAACAATATGTAATTATATATGTGTTTTCCGATGGTCTTAGGCAACCCCTGTGAAAGGGTTGTTCGACCCCGAAAGGGGTCGCGACCCACAGGTTGAGAACCACTGAGTTAGAGGATGATCTACTCCAGGAATAGGCAGGTAACCCTGTCCAGCCAATCACAGAATTCCAACTTCCTCGCTTCTGACGAAGAGCCTATATGAGAGCACAGGCAACACAGAGGAAAACAGAACCTAGAGATGAAGAGAAATGGAGTTCTCTGATCTCACCTCTGACCCTGGATCCAGCTTGTCTTAAGACCCTTACTACCTTCTAAGGATTTCTCAGACAGCTACTATCAGTCAAGAAATTCATTTGGCTGCTGATTCAGGTTGACTTGGTTATCTTTCTTTTTTAAAAAAATATATTTTATTGATTTTAGAGAGGAAGGGAGAGGGAGAGAGGGAGAGGGAGAGAGAGAGAGAAACATCAATGATGTGAGAGAATCATTGATTGGCTGCCTCTTGCATGCCCCCTACTGGGGATCAAGCCCGTAACCCAGGCATGTGCCCTTGGCCGGAATCAAACCTGGGAACCTTCGGTCCCCAAGCCGACACTCTATCCACTGAGCCAAACCAGCTAGGGCTGACTTGGTTATCTTTCACTTGCAAATGAAAATGTTTCTTGATTGAAAATCAGCTCCTCACCGAAACCCAAACATGATTTCATCATGCCGGAGATGAGCATCATCATCAATAGACAGGATGGCCTCTGTCTCAATTTCATTCCAGGGCAAGAATCGATTATTCAAACTGTTCTTCTCAGTACGGACCACCTGTAAAAAGGAAGGAAAAACACTAATGATCAATGCCACATTATAGAATGCAAAACCAAAACTGCCCTTAGGTCAAAGGAAACTGGCTAAATTTATTGAGTAATTTTGTCTGGTTACCTACCACTTGTATAATCTAGCATATGACTTTCAGGGATAAAAACTGCCTTATAATAATGAGGAGTACACATTTTAAGCCTTATTTATTTGCTAACTAATTTCCTGGTGAAACAAGCTAAAGCTGAGGATTATTTCACACATGTGATTAAACACATTCTAAGGAAATAAAAAATAACTTTCCCAAGAGAACACAAGGTGGCAGAGCCTAACTGAGATCTGATTCCCTGATCTGGAATACCCCGTTTTGCTCCTAAACTTTAAAACCAAACTCAGAAACCTCTTGAGTCTATGTCATTTCTGACCAATTTTAAGGCCTTTTTTGGTATTAAAAAAAACAGGATTGCCTATCCTACTGAGGTGAATTACTTCACCTGTGCAATTTCTACCTGCAACACTGACTACACATACAAAAGCTTTTTCTTTCAAAGTGTACCTAAATTCAGTAAAACTAACCGTTTCTGTGTACACAGCAAATCCCAATTCAAGCAATCTCTATCCAAAGTGACCCGTATGTGCAAAGCAGTATTTTCTTCATAAAACAAAGATTAGTGCCCAAACAGAACTACATTATAATTTTTAAAAATTATATTTAAGCCCTATGTCAGATAAGCATAGTTTACCACAATGTAAGTAGTAGCTTTGTTATTCACCTTGTCCCATAATATGCAAATAAACAAGGATGACCATTCTTAGTCTTTGATAGCTCATCTTATTTTTATGGTATCTATTTCTAATTAATCCAACTAATGAAAAACCATCGTATTATTTTCAAAAACCAGAAACAAAGCGAGCTTCTTGGGAGGTGATCTTTTTAGAAAGCCAGGATGGGTCATCTTATTCTAAACAGAAGGTTTTACCTGTACTGAGGATAACTTCTACCTACCATGATGAATGTAATTATATTCAGGGTCTAAAGGTTTACAAATGATTTCAAAGGTATTTCCATAACCTCACGAGTATTGTTTCTTCAGCTTAAAATATTCTTTCTCCTGTTTTTCTACCAAAATTATTCTCTCCCTGGAGACCCAGCTCAGAGGGTTCCTGTCACTATCCTCCCCTTGTCAAAATTAATCACTTCTATATTCTTAAAACAAAGTCCTCATACTTCAATTAATTCAATTAATGCATTTTAGCACACTCAGAATCCAATTAGTTGAGAGGGAGAAGGACCTCAGAGATCATCCGGTCCACCTCTCACTTTATACATGGACAATTAGCAAGTGGCAGAGCGAGACTCTCCTACCTTCTAACTCCAAATTAGTCTTTTTCTGCTAATCATATACTTATAAATCTCGTTAAACCAAAGCCCCAAGGCAAATGCATTATTAATTTCTGTAGCATAAAGAAAGAAAAATGCTGCTAAATAAGAGAGCTCATGAAATAGTTTATATGTTTACTTTATTAAAGAGCTTTTTAAGACTGCCTCAGCCCCAGATGAGTTTCTCTCAAGTTAAGACAAGGAAGGACCTGTAATAGATTTGCTACTCCATAGAACAGATGTCAGAGCTAAGCAACAGACACAGAAATCCATCTTGCCCTATAGCACATTTGACCAGTATAAAAAATCCCTGAGCTTGTAGCCCAGAATCCCAGGCTCAGATACAGCAGTGACAGAACAAAGGCACTGAAGCCTGAATCAGGGGAAAGAGGAGGGGGAGACAGCCAAGCACACAGTGCAGTAGCTGCCAGGCTCCATTCTGCGGGGAATGGGAAGGTAGCCAGAAGTAGCAGAAGCCAAAAACCAAGCATGGCAATGGCGAAACATCATCTATCTTAAGACACACCTGAGTTCAGAATGTTAAAATGTAAAATAACATCTACCTTAGAATCAATGGACTATGTACAGTAGTTGTTCACACAAACGCCCCCAACAAACTACCCTTCCTCAGATCATTCATTTTATTCACATGCCTACTATTCACTTAAATACACAACTGGAATTCTGCAGGTTCAGATGAACAAAGCTCCCCTCAACTCTAGCAATGAATAAACACAGCTTAAAATCCAGTAGAGAATACACACAGCTTAAAATGAAGAAAAAATGACTGAAAAACCCAATTCTTTCTATGCCACTTTCTATTAACAATTTTGTGGGTTAATCACCAGGAGGATTAGCTACAGCAAAATTAGTAACCCAGGAACATAGCACAGAGCTTCAGTACTCAGGTGTGATTCAAAGACCAACAAGGCGAGCATCACCTGGCACTCTGTTAAAATGCAGAACTGCAGGCCTATCCCCAAAACTACCAAGTCAGAACCTACAGTTTAACAAAATCCCCAGGTAACTCCTATGCACATTAAGTTTTGAAAGGTGCTGGTACAGAGGATTTTAAAAGCCTGGCTTTGGAGTTAATCAGAAAAGCTTGAGTTCATATCCCAATTCCACCGCTTACTAGCTGTGCAAACATTTAAGTAAGCAGCCTTTTGCTAAATCAACACAGCCCCATGTTGTATGCAAAAACTGAAGTTGTTTACCAGCCAAACTTGGCAATCCTATAAACAACTTAATTCTTTTTTAAAAAATATATTTTATTGATTTTTTACAGAGAGGAAGGGAGAGGGATAGAGAATCAGAAACATCGATGAGAGAGAAACATTGATCAGCTGCCTCCTGCATACCCCCCACTGGGGATGTGCCTGCAACCAAGGTACATGCCCCGACCGGAATTGAACCTGGGACCCTTCAGTCCACAGGGCGACGCTCTATCCACTAAGCCAAACCAGCTAAGGCTGTGGTCGGCAAACTGCAGCTCACGAGCCACCTGCAGCTTTTTGGCCCCTTGAGTGTGGCTCTTCCTAAGCCTTAGGAGTACCCTAATTACGTTAATAACAATGTACCTACCTATATAGTTTAAGTTTAAAAAATTTGGCTCTCAAAAGAAATTTCAATCGTTGTACTGTTGATATTTGGCTCTGTTGACTAATGAGTTTGCCGACCACTGGGCTAAGGCAAACAACCTAATTCTTAATCTAAAAGCAAGAAACAACAAAAACCTAAAATGATCGTGATGTGCTACCTAGAGTGTATCCAGTTTTTTGTCCAATTTACAAGGTAAATCAAATCAAGAGGACCTGTCTGTCCTTTGGAAGACTTAGGTCTAATACCAAAGTGTTTTGTCCTAGATTTCACATCCAGCTTATTGAGCAAGCTCATTAAACTCCATTAGGAACAACTGCTATGGGTTCCAGGAATACATACAGTGCTTGTCCTGGCACAACTTCTCTGGGCTGGATGACAGCAACTTTCAGGATTAGGGAAGTGAAGCAACAGCCATCAGAACAACAACAAAAAAGCTTTAAGGATTCACAGAAACACAACATCAAGTACTGCAGCAGCTTACTTGTGGTTAGCTCACAAACAACTGTGGTCACTAAGTCTACCTTAAGAATTCAGAGCAGTGGTTCTCGACTAGAAGTGATTTCTACCTCACACTGGACGTGTGACAGGATCTGTGGACATTTTTGGTTATCACAACTGTGGCAGCAGGGAGGTGAGCTATTTACATTCAGTGGGAAGAGGCCAGGAATGCTGTTAAATCCTACAAAGCACAGGACAGCCCCACACAACAAAGAATTATACAGCCCAAAAGTCTCTGGTGCCACTGCTAAGACACCCTAATTTATAGTCAGCCACCAGGAGACAGCAAAGCAAACTTCCAAGAATAAATGTAGCTCATTATTTAAGGACAGTCACCTTCCCCCCATAACAAAAAAGAGATTTCTAGCCTTACAAACTCTGCAAATACAAACTGAAATTACTAAAGCCGGGGGGGGGGGGGGGGGGGGGGGGGGGGGGACTTTCTTCTAACAATTTTACTTCAAAGCTATAGTACTTAAAGGCTAGGAAAAGATCAGCAAACCACCATTATCCATTCTGGCACCAAAATCAGAGGGACAAAAAGACTCAAATATTTGTAATGCAGACATACAAATCAGCATTGGTGGCTGTTTAAGAATAGCCATCAGAATGTTAAAGAAATGAGTAATCAGAAAGGTAAGCCAAAGTAGTATATCATGTTTAGGAAATATTCTCATTTTTGTTAATGTTTTATTTCTACTTAAAACAATGCTCCTCTTCCTTAACAATGCCTATGATTATACCTTAGTAATGTGACCATGAAGACTTATCTTCAAGTTACTAATATAACTATTGGTGTAACACTGACCAGAATGTATAGAACACAGTGCCTGGCACACAGATGTTCAACAAATGTTCTATAAGTGAATGAATGAATGGATGAATGAATGAATAAGTAGGAAGCAATACCTAATTTAACCCTGCACATTCTATTTTCAGAATGTGAAATAAAGACTTGAGAAGTTTATATATAAAAACCATATGCATTCAATATACTGACACCTCTTAGAATTGAGTCTAGTTTTCTACAGCAAAAAATCCATCAACCTAAAACAATCAAGTCAGGAGCAATGCTCACTAACATTCACTTTTTTGTTTCATGTGCAATGCTCCCTGATGATGCTTCACTAGTTCTTCTGTTTAACTATCATTCATAAAAGCCTTGATTTTCTCATTGTACCTTTCTTCTCATCACAATGGACCAGTACAGCAATCATGGCCAAGAACCCTACCATACGCAAATGTATACAAGTATATGCAACATCAAGAAATTAGTAACTTTAGTTAACATTCAATTTGGTCTTGAGGAATTCTGGAGTTTCTGAATAATAAAATGACTACTACTCTAACAGGGTCCTTTCTCCTAGTATGTTAACAAGGCATTTAAGTTCTAAATCCAAACAGAATCAACAATCTACATTAATTAGCAAAGTATCAATTCACATCATAAATTAACTACCATGATAAATCTGATTCCCAATTAGCAAAGATCTCTTAATATGCAAGGAATGGAAATGTATCAAGA